AAAAAAAAATACAGGCCCTATCACAGCTTTCTATCCCGCACTTGAGATCTCAAATGGTAGTTGACGTAATATCTGTCTCCATTTCTTCCATATCTGGCTTCCTTTATGCCTTCGGTTGATGATGTCGCGCACCGCCGCTAATAATGTATTCTTTGATCCATGAGGGAACGAAGGCCTTTACCTTGGGTTGGTCCGCATTCTGCACGCTGCCCACTTCAGATGAATCCCAAGTTATTTTGAACTCCTGGCTCGGGTCATACTGAGTTGATTCACCAGTTAAGGTAATGTCCGTCATAATCTCTAGTCGACAAACAGCCAGCCCAACATTTCCGATACCATTAAGGAACTTGCCTGCACTTCTGCCCTTACTGGCACCGACTTTCGAAATATTCGCTTCAATCCCGAAAGGCGGTAGAGTTATATTGGTGTCCGGATTGTAAACTGGAGTATCTGAAGTGGGTGGTTCTAGCGTAGAATCATAAAGCTGGACTGGTAGAATTCTCTTGCGTACTACACCCCTATGGTGGGTACGAATGGTTAATTCTTGACCAACATAGCAGCCCTTTCGGAAGTCAATGCCATTCATGATATCTATATTGCTGTCCATGGGTAAGGCAGATTCTCGAGCCATTTCAGCCTGCCCCTCTCCAACACCTTGCAGTATTCGGCGTAGCGTGTATGCCTGGATCGAAGTTTCGTCGCCGGGAAAGGCTTCTATGAATCGCGAGGGTAGTTTATCCCCACTGGCAATGACTCTGTATCCCATACCCGGTGCTCGGCCATCAGGGCATGCAATTATATTGTTTTCTTTAAAGGCCTCATTCTCGTGCCAGGTGTTTCCATCGTCCCAAAGCGACCAAACGCTTCGCTCTCCCTCATCAAGTGCCCGAAACTTCAGCTTTGAACGAAGCTTGTGTCTCTTAAAATGTTTAAGCAAACTTCCAGAGGTCTCCTTATCCACTTCAATTAGATACTCCATTTCACCTGCAGCGGAATTGGCAGTTTGAAACGGGTATATGAACACATCGTTTAGGATTCTTCCTTGGGAGTTAAGGAAGGCTGCGTAGAATGGAGAGGTAACCGGAGGAGAGTTCTTCGGAACCGAGAGGTTTCGTGTTATCAAGCCCTGAAGGAAACCCGTACTATCGACTCCGGAGAGGGAAATGAGAGACCGATTGTTTAGGTTCGAATAGCCGGAGGGAGGTGGTGCCGGAGGGTTGGAGTGATTGTGGCGTATTTGAGAGTATTTCCGGGTTCTTGATAGCTGACGACGTGCCTGCAGCAGGCATCGCCCGCAAATAGGGCTTGACGAAAGGCCTTGTACCATTTCAGTACTCTATCGACGAGCGGTGGTTTGGATAATTGAGTTGTTGTTAGGTTTAAACATTTCCTTGCCCTTTAACCAAATCTTATCAATCTTATCTAGCTAGCAACCTTGGAATGTCTGGGTTGGAACTAGCCCCAAAACAGCAACATAAATGCACTGCAACAGCACAACATTAAACTACTATTTATACCGGTTAAACTAGCGGCATCCTCCTTGACAATTGCAGCCTACGCAGTTGCAATCTACCACGAACCATCTAACCATTAGGTAGAAGAAGAAACTTCCCTATACCTGTTTAACTATAGTATGATAGAGGTTGGAAGCTAAGTTTGATGAATACAGCTTGCGCCATGATCTCAGCTTATATTCAGCCACCAGGGCTTACTTCAAACCAAGACTCCAGGATTTGTGATCGACCACACGGCCGAGGAAGTTGGTACTTTCAATTATTTCAGAGGGTCAATGCTCCATAACCATGGCGTAGTATCTTCATCCTGATATTAAAAGGGGTAGTTGCCGGTCAGGCCTTCCAATTCACAGGAGTCCTTAAATAAGTACATAGCATGGGAGATAGCCAAACCAAGAGATAAACTCTCCTACATCTCATGCCTATTTCTTGCCCATGGCAACCCCTTCTAGATATCCAAGTAAAAACGCCTGATTAGAAGAAGACGCCACACTACTCTGTTTCTCAAACCCACTTCCCCTGGTAGTTTCTTTCGGGCTGTTGAGTGGATCAGTAGTAGGGCTGATGAGGGTTGAGAATGGAGGAGATACGAGGACTGGAGATTTAGTATGTGTCGTGATATCCTGCTTTTCACCAATGGGTTGAGAAGAGGGGTCTTTGTTGAAAAGGGAAAGGAGTGCTTCTTTTTGAGCAGTCGATTGGCTTGGCCGTTGATCGAATTGAGGCTGTGGCTGGGTATTCTGCACCACGTCATCGTCGCTGACCGGCAGTGGCTCAGGCTTTGAGAAAGCACTCACAGTAACCGTAGAAGTAGGAAGGTATGCATCAAGATTATCCTTGTCCGGACGACGAAGAATCTTGGGCTTGAACGGTTTTGTTACCTCTGAAAGCTTGACGTTAGGTCTAGGCGGAGCGGGAGACGGGCTATGAACTTTCACCGTCTGCGGTATACCCTCATTGTTGTTTGACGCTGGGCGAGGGAGGATTCTGATATTTGGCTTCGCCATTGATGTTTGGGCGGGGGCGTGTTTCTTCTCCCTGCGTGGGCTGCGTGGGCTGCGTGGTGACTTGGCGATCCCTTCAAAGTTAGGAAGATTCAAGGGTGCGGACAAGGTGGCTCCTGTCTTCCCTACAGTAGGCTGAGTAGGAGTCCTGGGTCGATGCGGGTTTTGCAATATCACTGGGGCCTTGACTTGACTGCTTAAAGATAGGCCTGGAGGCTGCATCCCTGATTGTCCCTGAATCCTCGGGCTGTTCTGAGTCGCAAGTTCAGCACGGTCTGGCAGGTGCAAACTGCCACCGTTTTGAGAATATGAGTTACTCGGCTGCTTTAACATTTCCAGGAGTTGACTTTTGTGTTGAGCTTTTGCATCCTCTTGTTTAAATGCTTCAACTGACGGTGTAGATATGGAGCCTGGAATTGTTACAGTGTTCTTAAGGCTATCACCTTTGAAAACACTAAGCAGCGCAAGTGAGTGACTGTTAAGTTTTGGCAAAGGTAGCGCATGTGCTGGAGGTACAGAGGGCATGTTTGATTGCAGTTTTTGGGGATCCGAGACAAACTGAGGATCTCCAGTACGGTGGTAAGGCGGGGTTATATGCTGAGTGCTGTGGGATGGTGGTTGCGGGCCAATTTGACGCAACGGTGGCGGATAAGCAGTGAAGGGCGGTTTAGCTGGCTCATGGGATGCTTGGTGAGGTGTTTGCCCTACATAGCCGTCCTGGGGTCGGGCGGCAGGTTTCCGTTCCAAATAGTTATATAGCTGTTGGTTGTCTGTTTGGTTCTGTGGGTGTTGCAAGTACTGGTTTCCGAAGTCAAGGTGTGTTGGGGGAGGGGCAACGGCCTGACCGGGAGTTGGCTGTGGTGTTGTTTGCTGCGAGTGTACAGTCGGAAGTGCTCTGCTAGGATGTACTGGTATGGGCGCAAGAGGTGGATGTTCGGGAGGATGTGCTTCAGACCCTTTCCTAAGTAATTGTAGGAGGGCATTCCCTTTATCAATATTCGAAATATGCTGTTGCTGTTGTTGTTGATGGTCAGAGTCGGGTTGCTTGCTATGAGTGGCAGGAGCAACTGATCCAATGTTAAGCAGGCGTTTCAAATGAATAGTGGGATCAAGTGGCGCAGACACTTCGGGTAAATCTGAATGAACAGGTGGTAGAGTTGGCATGCTTGGAACATGATGTGCCGGATACCCTCCAGTGATGTCCTGGTGGTCTTCAACTCCTTCATCTTCTGTGATTATCGCTCCACCCAACTCCTCCTGAATGATCATATGGGGATGTGAGATCCGGGCCTGGTCCAGCTTCCTCTGTTTCGCAATCCACTTTTTGAGAGGGCCTAGAAACGTCGCAACCATGTAGAACTTATTATTATTTTGGTAAGGCACGTTTTCCTGCTGCTTGTTTTTCTTCAAAGTCGGAAGATCGGAGAGCTTATACCATTCTATCTTGCTGATTTCCTTTCGCGTCCTAGGCTCGAAGTGGGTATTTTTAGGCACTCCTCGAAGTACGTAAAGTCGCATATTCTGCTCACGCATTGGTATCTCGATGTATTTAACGTTCTTCTCGTCCTTAATAAGGCCAGAAGCTTTAATATCAAAGCCAGTCTCTTCAAAGACCTCTCGGACAGCGCAGTCCAGATCCTTCTCTTCCTTGTTTATTTTACCACGAGGGAACGACCAGTTTGCGCCTTTCTTCCAGCCTTTGACGAGCACGACCTCATCCATCTCTTGATTGAGAAGAATAGCTCCACGCACAGGGACTCTTGTCTTGTATGCCAAAAATTCGGAGAATGCAGTTGAATGATGATAATGGGACCATTGCGACATCAGAGGGCAGTGTTGAAAGATGCGAAGTGCAAACTCGCGAAGTTTGAGAGACGGCAGGTTTGGATCGAGTGGCCGGATAAAGTCCTCATAGAACCACTGAGCTTCTTCGACTTGGAAACATATTCGCTCAACGGACTCGAGCTCTTCTCTGGGGAGGTTTACAATGAACCGAACGCATAGGTCATCCAGCCCTGTAAATAAACGTATCAGTTTGTTCTCCACGAACCAGAGACTTTGTCCGGTAGCACTCCTTACAGTCCTCTAGTCGCATATTTATTTCTGTCATGGCTCCTAGGGCAATAATGCATTCCCGGGCGTTCAAACTGTGATGGTGTGGGCGTAAGTCCCGGCTCGAAGTCGGAAGACGTTGCTGAGCTGTATAAGCTTACGAGCCAGCCAGCTACAAGTGAAACCTAGCCTTGCCTCAACAACGGATTCACTTGCGCAGAGACAGTGGAAAAATAGGGTCCGCTAGTCGATGCAGAACAGATCTCGCGACGAAAATGGTCGATGTTTCTGTTTATTTCCACCTCTTCTTCGCTTTTTTTCCTTGTTGCTTCGTCCTCGAAGTTGTTGGTCGCAGTTCAGGCGTTGCTTATGTAACTATGTCCGCGCCTCACTCTGCTCAGCCACATATGTGGCTGGTGAAAATGTTTATTTCTGCTTAGTCATTCAAGCGTTATGACGTCGAGCTCTCTTTGATGCGTTTCTTGTTTGCCGCCAGGAGAACGTCCGCTGCAAGTTGAATCAGTCAATAGGATTGCGCGCCGGGCACTCCGCATCCAGGTTCTCTGACACTGCCCCATGGTGCGAGTGAGATTTATTTATACAGCTCCCTCTCCAAGGGTCAATATGTTCTATCCCTTGCGCTGATTGCTCTGGATGCTGGTCAAGGGGCGCTAACTAACAGCTTGACCGATCGCATTCACCAGCTAACCGCCGGGAGCAGCCAAAGACCGTTTCATTCTACCCAATCCGCTCGTTGCTTTATCCCTTCTTCTTTTGTTTCCATTTCACCTATATATTCCAGTTCCCTTGATTCAACAATTTCTTCCCCCATTGCAATCACAAGAATTCCGTCTCCCACTTCCTCTGAGCCCCTTTTCGCCCCAAGCATCAAAATCTAGTCACCATGGCATCCTATATCATCGGAGCGTTGTCGAAGAGGGTGTTGAAGGAGTCTGCTGAAAACCACTTCGGCAAGGAGGTAAGTTAGCTTCATCGATTCACAATCTAACCATCGACTCCAGATATGCTAACAAGATGCCCTTCTTTCACACAGGACCCTTACTTCGAAAGTGTGCCCGCTACAAACATGTTTGGGCAGCAAAAGATGAAAAAGCGCCGCAGGGCTGCCCCAGAAGGAATATCTGCTCATGATGCAAAGATCCTCACAAAGGTCAAAAGACGAGCATACAGATTAGACCTCTCTCTGTGCAACTTTTGCGGAATACGGTTTGGATGGGGAAGTGTGATCGGCCTAGTGCCTGCGTAAGAAAACTCGTTTCCTCGCTCTCTCTCCCGTTCATAATATACATATGGCTAACATTGTCATTTCCAATGTAGATTTGGAGACGTTGTCGATGCGCTCTTTGCGTTGATGGTGGTCATGACATGCAGACAGGTCGAGGGCGGGCTACCGACGAATATTCAATTACAAATGGTGTTCAACGTCTTTTTCGATTTCGTTATCGGATTAATCCCCTTTCTCGGTGATCTCATAGACGCGCTATATAAATGCAATACCCGAAATGCGGTACTGCTAGAGCGCTACCTGAAAGAAAAGGGTCAAGATAACTTGGCGCGGCTTGAAGAGGGAAACCGGACGGTGGTTACTTCAGGCGGCCGAAGACCGTCGGTGCGCCGCACTAACACCGAGCCACCTATGCACCACGACGAACCCCAGAGGCCTTCACCTGCAAGATTGCCTAGGGAGAACCGGCGATCAAACACATCACGATCCCATCGGCGATAGATTCTTTTCGGACTGGATATACTGCGGTCTCTTCATATTGTTTCTGTTTTCGTGCTTTTATTGCAAGCATGTCCTTCTTTTTTTGAGATACCACCTATATAACCTTTAATTTGTTCTTCCATAAATGCTGTTGCTTTCAATAGGCTCAGAGGGTTTAGATTTGGCCTCTACCCATCGGTTCCCCATAACTAGACCTGCCATCTGAGATCCGAACTTAGTGCTTGGTCAAGGCAGTTGGAGCTTTACCACTTTCTCAGTCTAATATGCCCATAGCCCTGTTCACAGGGTGTGTTTGCTGCGATTCTAGTGGCCAAGGAATTCGCATTATAACCCTGAGTTATGCCTGTCACTTTAAGCTATTAGACTTAAGGAGCTGGTTGTTTGAAATCAAGAAAGGTCCTAGCGCAGCCATAACAGGTAGGATTGGTTTTCACATCCTTATCACCTAAGAGATCTCGCTCTTCAAGTATGCTGAGAGTTGCTGGATCCATCTGGGTTGATTCTAATGGCACTCCACAGTAAACACATTGTAGCCCAGTATGTGATTGCGGCGGCTGTAGCTTATCGATTGTTCGTACAATGTTTGCCATGACGCCTGGGTACTTCTCTCCCTGCTGTTCAACGTACTGCGTCATCAAGTCGCTGATAGACATGTTCTTTGTTGCCTGCTCATTGGAAACTTTGGGTTCCTTTGACCCTATCTTTGAGAGTATATCGGGGAACCGGACGGACGCATACTGTACTAGTTCCGACTTGAAAATATCCCTGACAGGAAATGTAAAATGTACTCCCCACGGAGTAGGGCCATCACATACCTCCCACGGCAAGGCAGTCCCTCTGCCATTTGCAACACCCGCCAGAGTTTTTGCCGCAAGCCGAGTGTCTGAATCCCCCCAGAGAACACCATCACAGCCTTCAGAGATCGCAAAGGCAACAACCAACTTTCTCAGCAGTACACCATCAAAATCTGCTCGAGAAGTTGCTGTGGAAAGTGAAGCGCGGAATACCTCGAGCCGGTCCTCGTCTGATATGGATGGGTCATTTATTTCTCTCCTGGCGGAATGTTGCAACATAAACTCTGCCACATTCTTGTCGTAGCGGAAGATAGAATGCAAAGGGATTTCCGTGAAGGTGTGCTCCGGGAATGCAGTCCTCAAACATTCTAGCCTGGTATATTTTGACTCCTCGGGGGGATTTAATGTAGGCGACTTCACGGATACGACATGTAGTTTGTAGGGGACGCGTTTATATTCGTTCCCTCGTTGGTGCGCGAGCTGGTCATCTAGTAGATGAAGCAGCGATAGTGATGAGACACCGAACGACAGCGGTAAAAGGAGGGTCGGCTGCCTGTCTTTTGGCCCGTCTTTATACTTATCCATTCTCTTCCGAGCCTTTGTATGAATAAATTTAATAAAACATTCTCTTTTGACAGTGGTCAGCCATCACCCCCGCACACCGTTGACAATATATAGCAGGACACCTACCGGCATAAATTGCGTTTTCGAGTAGCCAGGCACGCTGGCTCTCTCTTACAATCAACACAACTATCCATGTTAATCTGCATTTATAAAATGAAAATGATAAATCAAATAAAATCAGGCAGTGTTCTCCCCTCAAACTCCATCTAAGAAATGTCAAGATAAGGCGAAAAAAAAAAGCTTTTGAGTTTAACTAATTACTCTGAGTGTTATTCCGAGGTTTCTGCTTACGTCATACTCCTTTTGCCCAAACATCGCAACGTTTAAAGCTTTAAAAGTTGTCACCTTCGAAAGGCTTCAGCATTTGCCGCTACAACTGAGCCTACTGTCGCGCGCTGCATGATGAGCATTGTGGCAAGGGACAAAGACCATCTCGACTAACTTATATTCGATATTGCCCAAGCCCTTGACGGGTTCAAGGGCGTTTTTCTGACCATTACCGCTGGAAATTAATCAGATAACGTGAGCCGGAATCATGCGGTGGCAGCATAGCGCCTTTTGGCTGGGTGCCTTATTCGCAACTGGCGTGTTTTCAAACGATGTTAAACTAGTAAGTCATCAATGCAGTCATATATGGCTTTTCTGTTAGTTCATGCCCCGACGCTGACGACTGAACGCTTAGGCACAGGACAATGTTAATCGACAACAATGCTCTGGAATGTACGGGAAGAAGGCCTGGGGCGGTGATATCAACCCATTTATCTTGCTGCGGATGGAGGCCGTCAAGGACAAGAAAGACCCGATTATGAGCTTGGCGATATTTGAATGGAAAGATGAAGCCTTGATCGGACGTGACTTGACAGCGAAGGATGGATCGGTATTTATATCCTCCCTGGAAATACAATTATAAGGAATGTTGCGTTCTACTTTGTACCTTGTTACTAACCGAAAATAGATACAAAAAAAGCTGATATGCGGTCCCCCGAGTGTCGAGGCGAAGCTCTGCACCGAAAAGGAAATAGGCTCATTTATCCTTGCGGAAAATGCCACCGAGAGAGCAAAATCCCCCCTCGTCTCCCTTGCCATAAACATGAGCGACCCTAAACCGATAAAGTACCCAGTGTCGAAGACTGGATTTTACTGTGTTACTACTTACCCCTATACGGATATGGAATACGAAGGAGTTGTAACCTTCAGAAACGCCTACGGAGAACTGCCTGCCACACAAGTTCCAAAATTAGCGTTCTACGGTGGTTTGACCATACTATATGCCCTGATGGGAGTGTATGTTCCCCGATTACTTCGAAGCTCAACTTTAGTCTTCTCTGACACATTTTGTCTAGATTCTGGGGTTTCCTATACGCTCAGCACCGCCATGATATCTGTGAGTAAGGTCTACCCATTTCTCTGGAATTTGCTCTAATATATCAATAGTACCTGTACAGAACTATATCACCGCAATCATCGTCTTCTTAGTTGTCGAACAACTAATCACATGGGGTTTCTACGGTATGTATAAGCACAGATCTCCAATTGTACTCATTAGTACTAATTCAACGTAGACTACCAAAACCGGTACGGTACGAATGCCGTTTGCAAGGTTCTAATGGTCATTGTGTCCATCTTAAGTGCAGGACGCAATTCGTTCTCCTTTTTCCTGCTGCTCATTGTCTGCATGGGCTACGGAGTCGTGAAACCCTCCCTTGGTCGAACCATGATTTACGTCCGTATTCTCGCCATTACTCACTTCGTCTTTGGAGTGATATACTCCGTTGCCAGTCTCTCTATTACCCCAGATAGCGCCGGCCCGCTAGTACTTCTTGTTGTTCTTCCGCTCGCAGGCTCTCTGACCGCATTTTATGTCTGGACCCTCAACTCCTTAAGTGCCACCATGAAGGACCTCATTAGTAGAAAGCAGCACGTGAAGGCAATGATGTATAAGAAACTTTGGTGGTGCCTTCTGGGCAGCATAATTGTTATCTTTGCATTCTTCTTCATCAATTCATTCGTGTTTGCTAGCACAAACGTATCTGATTTGATTCCTGCTCAGTGGAAGAGCAGATGGTTTGTTCTGGATGGCTGGCTTAACATTGTTTATCTGTTCAATATCGCATACATATCGTACTTGTGGAGGCCCACTGCCAACAATAAACGGTTTGCTATGAGTGATGAGGTAAGATCCATAACCTTTCTAAATGGTATCATCTACTAAATTTTTCCACAGCTTGCTCAAGATGATGACGGCTTCGAAATTCGCTCTGTTACTAGCTCCCTGGATGAGGAAGATGCAGTTGAGAATCCAAATGGGCGTGGCAACAGCCGACCCCCTGCAGGTACACAGGGAAATAACGGCTCTCAAGCCCGTCATTCCCTCGATGGAGAGACTATATTCGCTGTTGGGGACGATGTGGACCGGTGGTCCGATGACGACGTGTCTCCACGAAACTCAACTGATAGGAAGAAGTTGATACGCAAAGATGATTAAGAGAATACCTCAGAGCAGTACCTATGACTTTTTAATACCATTGTACGAGGCACAGTACTTTGGGAGATAATCCAGGGGGATGTTTTGTTTTTATTTTTTATCCCTATGAGTCCCCCGATTTCCTACTTTTCTTCTTGTATTTTCCACTACTAGGTTGCATCTCTTGTTTGTGTATCATCGTTACATCCCCCTTTTGCTTTTTGGTTCTTTTTGTACTATCATCAGTTAAAGAATTGATATTTACTAAGGAGGCTCTCGGTTGTTCTTGCTATCTTCAATCATTATTTACATGGACCCGCGGCTTATCGCCACGTGACCATGGAAAGTTGTGGATTGTTATCGTCCAATTATGGAAAGATAGGAGTCACTCAACATCTACTTACATCACAACCAGTTGTTGATACCTCTTCCTCCGTCTACAGTGCGTCTGTCCCTCTTTTCCACGCTTTTGTATACACCTACGTCGCTTATTGTTATTATGGAGAATCTGACGGCCATGAAACCGCAGAGTCCGGTGAACCGGCCCCAAAACAGTCAGGAATTAGCATCGTCTTTGCTTGAAGAATGCAATAAATTACTTTCGGAGATCTCTTCATTTCAGGCATACCTTGTAGCTCTAGGAAAGCCAAATCTGGTTGAGCTACGACAATTCAAATCCATCGTCCAGTCAGAGCTGAAATCACTACAAAGATTGGCCGCAAGAGCTGATGAAGCCGCTGCTGAAGATGCGGAGGACGCCTCCAGAGTTCAGCAAGATAAAACGGATATTAGGATACAAGGTCAAGCCAGTGGCAACGAAGAGGATGGCGAGTACAGTGATGAGGAATACCTAGGTCAGGCGGAATCAAAAGTGGTGCATTCGTTACGGTCGTCGAACTTCCCATTTTACGCCAACGTGTGGAGAACCGCAAAGACGAGCTGCACGGGGCTTATATCTCTCAACAAGAAATTCTATTTTTACAAGCCTGAAAAAGATCGTGGCACGCAGAGGGATTATAAAGACCTGGAAGCAGATATTGCTGAACTAAGAATTGAACCCCGCTTCAAGCCAGGGGCGGAAGAGGCCACCCCTAAAATGCGCAAGCGAGGTGTTTTAATTGACATTGTAGCTGACAATGGTGAAGAGTGGGTTAAAGTATCAACCGTCACACCAAATAGACTGCTCTTTGACCTTGCAAAGCAGGGATGGGAGATCGGTTTGAATTCAGGCTCAGAAGATGACGATGATGGGAGTAATGTCGCGTCGATATCCGGCATAGACGCCTATGATAGTGAAGACGAAGATGACATGATCGAATTACTAAAGTTGGCTGTTGACATGAAGAAAGCAGCCGCAGAGGTACGGGTCAGGTATAAACATCCGCGTGTCAGGCTGGTCCTGCCTAAGATAGTGGAAGGACAGGTTGCAGAAATTGATAAGATCATTCGTAAAGTCCGTACGGTTGGCGTTACCGTCGAATGTGGTACCGCTGAGACATCCGGTCTTGACTTTGTGGTAAACAGGAACGAACCCGTCAACAAGGCTATTGATGATGCAGCCACCATGTTTTCATCGCTTCTTCCTAGCCCTTTCCCACCTATGACATCAACCTTGAACGTTGATTGCACTTTATTGCTGGCATTTGTGTCTGATCTGTCTCACGCACGAGACCTTGAGTGTATGCCATCATACCACCCGGCTATTAACCGCCAAATCGAGCTCGAGGCCGAGAAACCGTTGCTGTTGTCTGAATTATGGCCTGCTGCAGGAGACAGGAACCTGGTCTGCACTACAAGGGCAGCAAAGAGAATGCGAGAGATTGTAGAGACAATAGGGACGCCCAGAGAAAAGGAGCGTACTAGGCTATTGATGGGAGAGGCTGAAGATGTCCCTGACAGGGAAACCCTCATATCCAAGTTTCAAAATCTGTCCGACTATACCATCCCGCTAGACTGGAAACTTCCTATCAAAGTGGTGGATGCTCAGAGTGACATTGATCGTGGTTGGAAAGACGGCTCTCTTCCATTTATTGCGAGAAAGATTGCACAAAACCTGAGCGATATTAATCGAAGTGTGTTCCTATATGGATGGGCCGCTGAGTTAACAACAATATCAAGTAACCGAACTGTGGTAAAACAGATCGAGACCTGGATTGAGGAGCAGCGTGGTGATGATGATGAGGTTTGCGGCCCGACAGTGTGGGTATGTGATACTGCTCGCAGTCTGATTGGTAAAGATAGTAGCAGAGCTATATAGACGTATTGGTAGCGTTCAAAACGACAGTATACGATGATATATGGTGCAGCACATAATTCACTTTTCAGGCATTTTTGCAGGGTCTTCTGGGAGCCAGAAAACGATTTCCTTATCCGCTGTTGCAAACATGTTGTATCGAGGGTTTGTCTGAACTAGCGTAGTCCGTGACCGATAGTAAGGTAGGTGGGTCATTGGTTCAAGGAAAAATTTTGCATCTGGAGGTTGATGTAGATCCCAGACCAATGTATCCGGCTGCTCTCCCGCGCCTCCTATTGCATATCGCCCATCGGGGGTGAAACATACGTCCCCTTGGCCTGGGGGCTTCCCAGTTGTAGAAACTGGCGCGGCACGGCCCGTCGGTCCTTGCTTACCAACCAAAAAAGCCTTTAGGTGACCCTCAAATGCATCAAGAACGAAATGGCCATGGTAATCCGTCCCGATTAGTAGACTTTTCCCATCATTGGAGAATTCCAGACGGGTCCAGGCACGCCCTTTGGTAGTTGGGGTATATCTATCTTCAAGAGGGGAGAGATCAAATGACGCGAAAGGTGCTTTGTCATAGTTTCGGAAATCATATAATAGGACAAATGAAGTAGATTGTGAAGCGATAGCAATGACACTTCCGGACGGGTCGAATGCCGCAAGGTACGGAGTAGCCAGCTTGAGTTTACCCTGAGCATTCCTGGAGTTAAGATCCCAAAAAGCAACGGTATCATCTTTGGAGCAAGATAGGAATGCATCGGTCCCGGGAGACACGGCGAGGGAAACCACTTTATCCGTATGGCCAGTGAAATACCGAAGGTAGCTCTCGTTGTGAAGGTCGAGTAATCGGAGTGAATCTACCTCGCGTCAGCACCCCAGCCCAGACAAACATGTGTGAAATATAGCAGTACACACCGTCGAGCTTTGTACTAGCATGAAGAATCTGCCGTGAGTGATGGGTAAACCTAGCAAGGTGTACGCCATACTTCTTGCTGGGAACAGTCTTCGTGGATTTCCCCTCCTTCACGTCGAAAACCTGGATCATTTCATCGTCGCCGGACGCAACTAGATAGTCGCCCTGATCATCAAAGTCCAGCGAAGTGACATTGACTTGCTTATCAGCTTTTGGGTTACCTTTGAATGCCTGGAAAGAAAAAACCACCAATTGTTAAAACTATGCGAGAGCTTCCAAAGCCAGTGGTAACTATCAACTTACCTTCGCAGGTCTATAATTCTTTATCACATCCGATACCTTCTCTACCGGCTGTGTCGGTGTCGCTGTTGTTTCCGCCATATTCACCACTTCCACAATCACTGCTCGGGTTATGTGCCTTGCGTTTATATTTCGATAGCTTCATGGAAGTTTGAGTTTGATAAAGAACACTTTGCTTATATAATCATTGAGGATAAATATTGATCCGAAACCCGAAACAGTTTCATCAAACTTTATTAGTAATCCCAGCTGATACGCTGGAATTTTCAATTGAGACGCCGATTTTAAAGTGTTGACATTGCTTCATCTTCTTCTTCTGCCCCAGACTCTTTTTCCTCCTAACGTTTGACATTGCCATTGAGCGGAATAAGGGACTATGTTGATGTGGCTGCGGGTTACTTACTAATAATCTCTCTTTCTCTCTCTCATTTGAAGACCCCTCTCCGCTCAACTTCCCCGTACCTTTACCCAATTACCCCAAGAGGATATCGGGTGTAAGGAACAACGATGTCCACCGCTACCGGGTAGGTCTGTTATGAAAAACCAATTGCTTGATGCCATCAGCTGACTTTCAATTTGACTATAGAGCATTCCTTGCTGGTGGTCTTGCCGCTTGTGGTGCCGTCACCCTGACACACAGCTTTGAAACTGTAAAGATTCGGTAATATGTCGGCCGCTGTACCAATTGCTCGTTGAGGTTCGCGGAGGCTAATGATAAAGCGGAAAAGATTGCAATTGCAAGGAGAGTTGCAGGCAAAGCAAAATGTTGCTAGGCAATACAAGGGTGTTTTCCACGGAATCACCGTCATTCTAAAGAACGAAGGTCCCCGAGGTCTACTCCGTGGCCTTGACGCAGCGGTACGATCTATATCTAGAAATATATCTATAACGATACGGTAGCTGATCCAAATCTGTATATGCAGTATACATACCAACTTCTGCTCAACGGCTGTCGTCTCTCTTTTTACGAACCGATTCGCAAAAGTCTCACCACTTCTTTCTATGACGACCCAAAGACCCAGTCCATGGCTATAAACGTTTTCTCCGGAGCCACCTCCGGCGTTATCGGCGCTGCCGTTGCCTCGCCGTTTTTCCTAGTCAAGACAAGACTACAATCTTACTCTCCAATTCTTCCAGTTGGCACGCAGCACAACTACAAGGGCTCGACGGATGGACTACGAAAGATCTTCGCTAGCGAGGGCGTACCAGGATTATACCGTGGTGCTATGGCTTCTATGATCCGAACGGGTTTCGGTAGCTCCGTTCAACTACCTACATACTTCTTTGCGAAGCGAAACTTGATACGCCATCTTGGAATGGAAGAGGGGCTCCCCCTTCACCTTGCCAGTAGTGCTGTCAGTGGTGTTGTGGTCTGTATTGCTATGCACCCTCCAGACACTATTATGTCCCGAATGTATAACCAAACCGGCAACCTGTACAATGGCGTTTTTGACTGTGTCAAGAAGACGATCAAGGCCGAGGGCCTGTTTGCCATTTACAAGGGTGTCTCCGCACATCTTGCTCGTGTAGTACCTCATACGGTAGGCCTCTTGCATACACCTCTCACACTTCGCAGTATATTTACTAACATGGAATTCTCCAAGGTATTGACACTGACATTCATGGAGCAATGTTATAAGATCATGCGTAAAGCTGAAGATACTTTCCTTCCAGAGTCCGTAAAGGCCTGGATATAGGTAGTTTTGTCCTATCTGTATATTCGCGTTTCCTTTATGTAAATATAGACCGTATGCTTCGTCTGGGAGAGCGTTTCATCGAAATAGATTTCTTGGAGGACAACATAGACTAGATAATTTGCCTTGGTATCAAAAAGAAAAAGGTGAATATAAGGAGAGAGGTGGTTGTTTGATGCCAAGTATGAGTATTTGAAAAGCGTCGTTGCCCGCTCTTTTATACTCCGTAGGCTAAACAAAGCTGCAGGCGAATGCAGGAACAGGGCCAGGTTCAGTAAATCCTAAATCACTCGCTAACAGGGGGCGCGAACCGCGTGTTTTTTTAGCTGAAGCCAGCGTCTCGAGCTTCCAGACTTCTAGATCCTACGGCAAGACGGAATATTCAATATAACTAGTGCGGCAAAATCCAGTCTCATCGTCTGATGTCGCGCCATTATTCGGCCATAATTGACACCGAAACTGACCGCATCCGACAGCTCATCGCCAAAAACAGGCTACTGCGGATAAGGCGGAACCGACGGCAGGATTAATTGCTTGCTGAAAGCCAGTTGATAGCCTCGAAAGCAAGTCGCGTCGAGCGGATCTAGCATCAACAAGGTCGTAGTCAGCCACTCACACGTAGGAACTGCCTGGTGGAAACGGGAGAAGGAACCATCAAAAGACACATCTCAACTGTGACTGGCCCAGCCTTGTGCCTTGCGCCCTTGTTAGCGCATCTTGGTCGGAGACTTGGTGTGCGTCTTGCATGTTGGGCTGCAGCGTTTGGCTGGGATAACGCGACTTCTGGAGGAACTAAAAGCGGAGATTCGATCAGATAAGATAACGCGTCAGGCAAACAGGCCAAACACACAATTTGACTAAGCAATCGCGCTCCAGCGCGGGATCGCGTGATTTAGCGCGACTCCAGGCAAAAAAGTATTTGAAGGCAAAGAGAGAAAGCTTTCACTCTCTTTCTTCCACTTCTTCAACTCCCATCAACAACACTCCCATAACCACGCTTCATTCTTTTGTTCGCCTTCTAGCTACTTGAAAAAAGCACGCCAGCAGTCACAATGGCCACCCTATCTACTCCATCGAAGCAGGTATGATGCCAATCTCCCCCTCCAACACGCGTGTTTAAGTGGTTTACTGACGCGTCCTATTATGACTTAATATAGACTGCTTCCTCTCTGGAAAAGCTGAAGATGAACGATTCACCAATGAAGCCACTCAAGCTCGACCTCGGGAACAAGGAGAATACTCCTATCTCTTCAGCTGTTGCTGAGCCAGAGTTGAAGAAGGTTGAGCTCGAGACCTCCAAGCCTACCGAAGCCCAGGTTGTCAAGGCCAAGACTCCCAAGGAACTGGAGGCAGAGGAGCCTCTCCTCCAGGAAAATCCTCAACGCTTCGTGCTCTTCCCAATCAAGTATCGCGAGGTATGTTAGAAATTCTTTTCGACGCGTTCCTTGTTAAAGTGTTCCAAGATTGGTGGCTAACGCGTTATCTTATCAGATTTGGCAAATGTACAAGAAAGCCGAGGCCTCTTTCTGGACGGCTGAAGAGATTGATCTCTCCAAAGACATTCATGACTGGAACAACAGGCTCAATGACGATGAACGATTCTTCATTTCCCATGTCTTGGCCTTCTTTGCCGCTTCCGATGGTATTGTCAACGAGAACCTCCTCGAACGTTTCAGCAATGAAGTCCAAGTACCGGAAGCCCGATGCTTCTATGGCTTCCAGATCATGATGGAAAACATTCACTCCGAGACATACTCCCTCCTCATCGACACATATATTAAGGAGCAGAAACAACGAACCTACCTCTTTGAAGCTATTGACACCAGTATGTTACGCCACCTTCTGTTCCCAGAATCAACCGCTAATGACATTTAGTTCCATGCATCCGCAAGAAGGCTGATTGGGCCATCCGATGGATCCAAGATAAGGATTCCACCTTCGCACAGCGTCTTGTTGCTTTTGCTGCCGTCGAGGGCATCTTCTTCAGTGGTTCCTTTGCTTCTATCTTCTGGCTGAAGAAGCGTGGTCTTATGCCCGGACTCACCTTCTCCAACGAACTTATCTCGCGTGACGAAGGCCTACATACCGACTTTGCCTGTCTACTCTTCTCTCACCTCAATCACCGTCCTGAGCCCAGTGCCGTCGAGGCTATCATCACTGAAGCTGTCACCATCGAGCAGGAATTCTTGACTGATGCCCTCCCCTGTGCCCTTCTCGGCATGAATGCTAAGCTCATGTGCCAGTACATTGAATTCGTGGCCGATAGGCTTCTCGTTGCTCTTGGTAACAAGAAGTTCTATAACACCACCAACCCCTTCGACTTCATGGACAACATCTCCCTAGCTGGCAAGACCAACTTCTTCGAGAAGCGTGTTGGAGACTACCAGAAGGCCGGTGTCATGGCCAGTACTAAGAAGGAAGAAGAATCTACCGAAGAACCTGAGAACGGCGGCGCTTTCCGATTTGACGAGGACTTCTAGATTTCTTAACTCATTGTCCACTTTTTTTCCCTTTTTTCCCTTTTACTCAATGATTCCCCCTACCATGCTATGACTCCTTCTCTTCGCTTCCTAGATATCCTTACACGAACCTTCCCACTCTTACCAAGCATCCGATTCTGATGCTATAATACTCTTTCCTTTCTTAATCTCCTATCTTCATGTTCATGCAGGCTCGGCGTTATTTGGATGTGGTTTATGTCTTATGTATTTTATCCAAGACGGATGTCCCTGGTTTTACACGCGGAAGTCCGCTTCGGATGGGTTGGAAATGTGAATGTCATGCGTATAATAAAATTATTGTTTATCATTAAATCTCCCTTGTGTCCACATACCAATTTCAAGTATATACTCGCGTCCTGGTATAGATATAAATTATATCGTCAGACATATTTGCATGGTTATTATCGAAGGACTAAACCAAGTAGTGTACTGGCTCTGAGTTCCTCAACTGACACGACATGAGTTCATCTCTATATCAATGCTGTCAATTAAGAGTCTAGCACATACGACCACAGGAAGTGGAAAACAGAGCTTCCCGTCCGCTCAGCTGTACTTAAGCCACTTGCCGGTCGGTTAGTAGTTGGGTGGGTGACCACCAGCGAATCCCGACTGTCGTATGTATTTTTTTGATTTTTGATTGGTTGATTTTTTGAAAAGACTCAATAGCAATTTTTTGATTGGTTGATTCTTTATTTTTTTTCTGACTCTCTCTTCTACATTCTTATGAACCCATCCCTCTGTCACCAACAATTATGCTTGCTCGTCACCTCAAACGCGCAAAGGGCTGTTCTCCGTTGGGTGGGTGACCACCGGCGAATCCTGACTGTCCGCACGTCGGCGATCTTTTTTTTTTTTTAGTTGGCTTCTTGACTTCCTGTCGCGAAGCTAGTAGTTATCAATAATTCATCTATCGTATAAAGCCGCAATTTCACTGGTCTATTTATCTCTATTTCTTGCCCTTGCCCTTTTTCTTCCCCTTTGCTGGCTTGCCCCCTCCTCCACCAGCACCACCTACAGCCGGCGTATTACTCCTGCTACCTTCGTCAACCGCCGCCGCCGCCGATGGATCCGGCATATCAACATCCTCCGCGTCACCCGCCACCGACTTCACTGGTACTGGAGCCGGTACAAAATCTTCAATGGGAGCACCACTAGCCAGCTTACCCAACCCAGCGATCAGCCTGCCCACTTCCGCGGCTTTGTTCGTTCGGTATTTCAGACATATTCCTGTAGTGGGGTGGAATGTTTTTAAGGTAAGTGTTGCGGGTGCGGCAGTAGGCTCCGGAGTTTCTGTGGACTCTGAAGCGGCTGTTTTTGACTTTGCTTTGGCTCGTTCTTTCGCAGAGGGGCGTTTAGGGTAGGAGTATTTTGTGGTTATTCGGGTCTAGATGCGATCTGGTTAACAATGCAATAGATAAGGAGCGCCGTTTGTTTCTGGTGCGATAAAGCTTGCCGAGTTCATAATTCCCCTAAAAAGGTATATAGATACGAATGTCATATATATGCTGGAAGGTGCAACGTACTGTGTCTGGGTATGCTTCAAGTAATAGTGACGACTGCTTGAGATAGTCTTGTGATGTCGCTAGGTAAACCATGGCTTCGAGCTTGGGTATCAAGGTGTAAGAATCCGACACTGTTATCTATATAATTTCTTCGAAGGCAGTGGCTGTGGTTATCTAGTAGTCCGTATATTTGTTTGCAAGTAGCCTTCGCGGTGGGTGTTGGATGTGATATTTTGGTTTATCGTTTATCGTTGTGACGTCGTGACTTTTTTGTGGTTTGCGAGTCGTAAGCAAACAGAGCAAACACAGCTACTTTGGCCGCTAAATTATACCAAGTTAGCTACATAACCCAGATACTTTGTGGATATCAAATACCTCAACAGCTTCTATAGACGTTCATAACTCGTGGATATTTTGGTTCGCTGAGAATTAGTAACTCATTTATTCATTTCAACGCAAAACAGCAAAAGTACATAGGCCTGCTTTACAGACCAGAGTCAAAATATGAACCCATATATATTACAGGCGTCGCCATTCAACAGATAATCAATGACAACAGCTCATCTCATGCAATAATCGCCAAACCAAGTCATAACAAGCGTCCAAAAGAGAAAAACAAAAACAAATAGAAGCTATATTCAAAGAACGGTAAGCGGGTCGGGGAAGCGGTGCGGTAGACACACGTGCCCAGGTTAGGAGGGTTGTAATGCAGCGCAGCCACATCGTGTGCATATCAACCTCTGTTCCCCATTTTTAAGCCGGGTGGCTCTAAAATTCGTGCCCTGGCACTGAGAACACCCCAATTCTTCTTCATACTCGACATCATCATCACTTGTAATGCCATTACTCGTCAATGCACCTGTGCTGTTGTACCCCTCATGCATAGAGTTGGGCTGTGTATCCGCTGGCGTCTTCTTCCATGATATATAGCTCGGGTCTTCCTTGTTCAAGTTAAACCCAAAGGGTCGAGGAGTTTCATCATTAGGGCCAAAGGGGGTAGATTCCTCGGAGTTAATGGTGCTGAGCAATCTAGGAGGTTGTATGGGCTGGTTGTTCGAGGGGAGAAACGCTGTACCACCAAATCGTTGTGAGCCTGTTGAATTGGGTGTGGCGGGCTTAGATGTGTCCACGGCAGGGGATTCCTTACGTGGCTTGGAAGGAGAACCACTACGTCCGGCGGATTCAGGTGTTCCACGAAGGTTATCGACGCTGCGATTGTCAGGGCCGCCAACTACAGAGTTACGCCACGACAAGATGCGCTCCGAGGGAGTTTTTGACTCCCTCCCAATCGAAGATGCTATACTGTGCCGTGTAGATACCGAGTTCGTGCGACCTAGGAGTTTTCTAGAGAAGGTCGAATTCGTCTCCCATTGATCGTGCCGGCGTTTGTGATAGCCACAATCCTGTCGAAATATCTTGATCCTACCATGGTAATCAGCAGTCACAATGATGTTACCACCAGGATGGGCAGATCGTGCAACGTATGCTGGGGATTCTTCTACTTTTTGCTGGCTAGGAGGTTGAAGCGATTGCGTTGTCTGTGGTGGTACAGGCTCCTCGTCGTTCCGTGGCTGGTCCTTCGAGATAACTGACGCTGTAGCGCTGACCAAGGTAACGGGAGGGGGGTTACATAGGTCATATAATAAGTCCCCAGTAGACCCTAATACGGTTTTGCTAACAGTGGGTGCCATAATCGCGGTAGTCACGGTTGAGCTGTGGGCGTCGAAAAATTCAACCGGTCGCTTGTCAGGGTATTTCTCCGTTGAATTCAAGGGCCAAATGTAAACCCGACCATCTTCACTTCCGCAGATGGCATACTTCCCGTCACTGCTGAAACTAGCGCGAATCTGGCTGGAAGCATTCTCGTTCCCACGAAACTTGGCTTCCAATGTCCTGTCTTTAAAGTTATAAAGACGGATTCGTGAGTCGTTGCTGGTAATAAGGAGCTTCACAGGGCCATTTTCGTTGGTAGGTGGTTGAACAATGGTGTCTATTCCAGTGATTTTGCTTCCTTTGGCATTCTTTCCACGAGCAGATCGAACGTGGAGTTGTGATAACGGCTTCAGTCCATCAGTCTCGTAGATTGCACAAAGTCCGTTGAGACACCCTGCCAAAGAGTATTTTCCATCAGGAGTGAAGGCTACAGCAGTAATCATATCAGGGATAGTCACGCTATAGGCAACGGCCTTGTCAGGAATGCTCCATAACCGTAGCTTGCAATCTAAAGAGCCTGCTAGGAAAAAGCGATCATCACGGGGGTGGAACTCAATAGATGTGACGAAATCTGCGTGTTTAAAACAACATAGACATTCATCTCGTGTAACATGCCAAAGGCGCACGGTTTTGTCCATAGAGGTAGTGAGCAAGAAATCATTCTGTTTATTGTGGTTGGGTCAGCAAGTTACAATCGATTTGCGAGGCTGCGATGGGAAGCATACCTTACTCCAGCTTAAGTCAACAATACTCGCAGTATGGCCTTCGTACAACCGAATGGGGTGCGTTTTGAAGACCGGGGCACTTAGTCTCACAGCCGTTTGGCCATTCCGTGCTTCTTCCTCGCTTTCGTGCGCATGCCTGTCCTCAGCCTTTGAAATGATAGCCCATACTCGAACCCGCTTGTCTTGTCCAGCAACTGCCAGGTATCTTCCATTCTTAGAGAATTCTGCGGCCCACACTGCCTTGTTCCCCTTTGCACTCGTTTCGAATTCAGCTGAATCCAGTTCGGCCTCTGCTGGGCTTCCCCTGAGTTCTTGGGCAAGAAACAATCTGTCAAATGCCCTTGTCTTTGTGTGCTTTGACCGGACTTTAATATATTTTGGCGGAGGAGGGTATCGCGGTATATACCCTACTGGGTGTGCGAAGAGCTCACTATCTAAGCCAGTAGTCCGTGGCTCACCAAGCTCTGATGTATCATCGTTCGGCTCTGAAACGGATCCCTTCTTCTTCCCTCCAATTATCCGACTTAGAAAAGAAACTCCCTTCCTAGCATACAGTGTTAGAAACCTGTGACTATATCCTCTTCAACGAATATATATGCCCGCTTACTTCTTGTCTTTTGCTGGTGCCTGGCTGGTGCCGGCGTCGGGCCTATTGGCGGGCGGTGCGTCTTCGGATAGAGATGGTAAATGGCTCTCTGAGGCCACTGGCTCTGCTTCAAAGGAGAGCCTCGGTCTGACCCTAGAGGAAAACGATCTTTCCGTATTGGTTCGTTTCAATATATGCTGAGGAGTGGAAACAGCATTCATTAGTTACAGGGACGATACGGATGGACATAAAAGCAGCAAAGGGTTGGCGCCGAGTGGTTGAAACACAAGACCGCAAGCAAAAGGTGCACAGGTAACAAGTAGATATCCCTGCAAACCCTGACAGGTATAAAAACGATGACGTACCTGTGATAAAGGGTCGATAGGCGATTGATCCTGCGTATCATGCCGTGAAAGCGACGCTGAAGGCCCCGGCGATTGCTTCTGGCGCCCGGAGGCTGAAATCTGCGAGATCTGGCTTCTCAAGCCTGTGGTTGTGTTTGGCTGAGGCCAAAGGCCGGCGTCCTTCGGCGCCTCAGGGTTGGAATTATGGTGGCTGTTCGCGTAGATAGAGCCATCATTCGCCGAGCCTAGCAGTACCGATGCAAAAATTCGTTAATATACTCCGTATGTTGAATAGACAATAGACATTGAGATATATTATATCTATCGCGCACGTATTGACTTAGCGGCTCAACGTGGATCAGCCCCCCAGACTTTGAGACGGCGCAGATCGGACAGAGGGAGAGTGAACTAAGTATATGTCAACAGGGCGTGGGCCGCTTACTTGCATCCCCAGCTGCTAATAGTCGCGGTTGATTCACGATAGTCGCCCCGTCTAAACTCCCTGAACCTCGCCGTAGCGCATCCGATGTCTCACGACGCTGAGAACCCACAGGGTCCGTAGTATCCGCCATTATTCAACGATGCTCGAAAGACGCATGGCATGAAGAAGGAAGGACTTATAAGACCCATACCGGGCTGGCGAGCATTAACCGCTCATTGTATTATAGTGGGTTGAAGGAGAACTGTGAAGAATGAGAGACCACTTTGCTTGTTCGTTCAACATCCTTGGAAAAAAAAAAAATATTCAATAGTACAAAAAAGTAAATACATTCCAAGAAGGGAAATACCCGCCATCGGAGTAACATTCGGGCCGTCGATTTAATCTGATTAGATAATAGCGGAAGAATATTAATCCGGTAATTTTGGTATTGTTATGTATCAAACTTTATAAATCAATGTTTTATTGGTCTTTTCGTGGTTTTATTGTATTTCCGTAATATCCAATAAGTCAGCTGTATACGCTTCTATAATTAGTATAAACCTAATTTATTAAGCATAATTTACCACGAGACCCAGATACATCCGCGGATCCAACCAGGCCACGTGATATAATTTTTGAATGTATGTTTGAAGGGGTAGTAGAGACGAAAAAGACGAAAGGCCATGGCAAGGGAACGTTATAGCGTCTAGCTATATGAGGGAGCTGGTATGCATCTATTCAGCACTCTGCAGTGTCTGCTGCAATGTACTCCAATCTACCCAAAGTTTGATCCATCCTCAATGTACCCCTGACTTACGGGCTCTATCATTCGCAATATCGCACATGGCCTAGAATAACGGTAGGTGTTATATTCATTTTCTTTTGGCTCGAAAATGGGATAGAAAATGAGGATCAGTGGGTCAAGTAACATGGGGACAAACTCACTGTTATAGTCGTATCAATCTCAGAAGCGACATCAATGGCATCAATGCGACGACGCATATCCTCCATGATGACATCCCTCCCCCGTCCATTGACAAACACCCTGCAGGAACAAAAGCAAGACATCAATACACCCGTCCATGCATGCATGAGAGATGAATGTGCATAATTTAAATAAGACATGCTTACACGTATCGTAATCCAGGAAAAGCCCTTTCATATTCCTCGTTCAATCTCCCTAACCGATCAGCTTCATCCTTGTCCCCTTGTCCTGAGGCCATAGCGGCAGCAGCAGCGGTAGCGAGATTTGCCTGTTCCCGTCTACTAAATTCACTCAGATGCGAGGCTTTTGGGGCTCCAAGCCGGGGATGGGAGCCTAGGATATCATATAGGATTTTCTTGTCGGCATCGTTTGAGGCAGCTTTCTCGGCTAGTTGGCGGAGCTCTGTCTGCACGCAGCTGATGAGCTCGCTGTATGAATTAAAGGGGTTCTGCAGCAAGGGAAGAGCCAGGTTATGAAGATGCTGGGATGGTTCAAAGAGAATATCCAAGACAGCGATCTGGTTGGCCGGTGAGCTACTGGCGATGCTGGTTGCATCTAGCGGCAGGCACCGTGCTGACTGTGGTGTATCCTGGGATGTCATTGTGTATTGTACTGCTCTGATATCAAATAGTCGGAGTACTTGGTTCTTGCCGAGGGAATATTAGGGGAGTTTTGGAACACCTTCATTTCTCTAGTTATCCAGCAACTAACTAGTTAGTGATTTGAGGTGGATCTTTTAGAGTTTTATTTAACTCCTTAACAAGTTAACTAGTAAGTATATTGCCAGAGCGTACGGAGTACTCCGTACGCCGTAGTTAACTGGTTGAGTACTAGGTTGGATACTTGTCATATTTTAGGCGGCGAAGTAGATAACCAAGTCTTTTGACGACGGCGAGAAACAGGGGAGGATTTTTTTTTTTTTTTACTTTTTTTTTTCCCTCTGCCCATTTTTATTGGCTTGTATGACTGTAGCACTTTTGAGCCTCGATAATTGACTTCTAAATTTAAATGCAATAGACTGCACACTCAATTCAATTGGCAGCACCAAAGCATACACTTGCTTGCTTCAGGTACCAGTTCGCGTAGTCCTTTACCAATATTGTTTGGATTTACCTATATAAACTGAGTGGATAGTAGAGCTAAACACGCACGGCCCGGGCAATCTGTTTAGACATACCCCTGGACGGTTGATCAATGAACTCCTTGCGATGCTACGAGATAATTAACAGAATTGTGGAATGGAAACAGAATTCAGGAGCTTGGAATTACCAGCATACAACAGTCTTTTCCTGCGAAGATTCCTTACCACCTGAATATCACTTTTATCCACTTCCCCCGGGTCTGGGCCATGTGAGTTCAATTGCTACCTAGGCGACGAAGGTACTCCCTTACTTATCGAAGGATCCGCAGATACTCAACTGGTCAGATTCAGTCATTTAGCATAACGACCTCCGTTTGGAAATATACATATCTCCCTTGACGATCTAACCGTAATAAAGATGTGATTAATTAGCAGTTAATCGACATATACATAAGCCCGTTATGTACACAGGTGCAGTTTCTAGAGTTTCTTCAGCCACCCAAAGGCTAACTAGTTACCGTCCAGGACCAGAGGTCAACTTGGGTCCCAATCGAGAGGTAGGAACGAGTATCTTTTTGATACGTACATGAAGATCATGAGCGAAGAGATATCACCGGAAAAGGCGAAAGGGAAAGCTGCCTGAGCCTACACCTGTCGTTTGATCTCCTGTATACATATTACCACTAAGGACCCTGGAGTTGCTAATCACCCGGGTGGTTAATTACCTAGAATCATAGACCGTATTTTACTCAACTTGGACCACATGGAAAAGATGGTTAATTACTTTTGTCTCTGGCATATGTGTCAACATTTAATTAACCGACACCCGTTGACTTGCTGTCAGGATGTCTATAAAACTGACGGAGTATGCCGAGAGACACGTAGTTTGAAGAGGTACAATATTGATACGTTATATAGGCCAGGCTGACCGATGACGGAGCTTATACTTGTTCGAGTGTTAAATTATGCAGGCTGGCCTGTTCGTTCACAGATAATCCCGAGCCAGGCTAGGCCAGCCAGCCAGAAGTCACCGAATAACTGACATGCATGACTGACCCCTGACAGCGTTGAAAGTCAAGTCGGCAAACTAATGACATCCCTTGCAGTGAACTACTGTGATGACCTCGTACGGTACGCCTCCCCGCGCGATGCTACGGCTACGGGTTCCCCCCTGACTCGCTGCCATCGACGACCACGCCCTATCCCGGCAGATAAGATCGCTCTCTTATACTCCGTCCACATCAAGACATCACAGAGTAAATAACTATGAAGGAGAAAGGCGTTAGAGGGGTTGTGAAACCATCTCACGGAGCTGTTTTGACCCGTGTGTATAAGTACACATGTATCACTGGGGGTCTGCGTCTGCCCTGTATGACTGGGGTATCCCCACACCGGAGGCCAAGGAGGAGCTAGAAAAGAAAAAGGGATCGAGCTATGTGATGGCCCCTGGCAAGAGATAGATTATATACTGGAGCAGTTAGCAGAGAGAGATTGCAGGAGAGCTCTGTGCCTTGATTAGCAGCGCCGTTAGTTGACAAGACACGGCCTGCTAGGTAGGCAAATAGTCAAGGAGCAAGCCATGAGATGAAAGGTGATGGCTGAATCTGCCTTAACTACTCCATAAAGGGGGGAGATCGGGGAAAGGGTTCCCACGCGCTCCGAGCATCCAAGTTTGGACCCGAGCAGGGCCTTGGGCAGCGGAGGTGGCTAAAAAAGAGTAAAAAAAAGAAAAAGTCCTACGCATGTACGCATGTACGCATGTTCGAGGGGGCCCAACAGTGAGAAGTGAAGCAAGAGGGAGAGACTCCAGACAGGAGAGAAGAGAGTGGGAGAAAGCAAAAAAGCAAAACAGGCGTGAAACCGAAGTGATGGAGATGGAGATGGCAGAGGCTGGAGCTTTGGCAGCAGACAGACAGACAGGCAAGGAGATAACTAGACAGAGAGACGGCGAGTTGGGCGCGGCATGGGAGGCCTGACAACGCCTGCCGATCTCCAGAGGCCGGCCAATTGCCAGTTCTGCTGCTGGTTCTTCCCGTATAAATAGTAAATGGTCTTTCTGGTCTATGAGATGTGCTGTCGTAATATATCTGTGAAAGGCGTCTCCAAGGTCCAGGGGGTCAGGGAGGAAAAGCGAGCCCAGAGAGCTGATCGAAGGCGATATCGCTGGAACGCGGCCACGTTTCAGGATCTCTCGTCTCTCTCTCAATCGGACATCCGTCTCTGGGACCCAGAATGAATAATATATGCCAAACGCAAAGTATTGATATGGTTTATCCTCCGAGGATGGCGAGTCGCATTATGAATCTTTTAGCGCTGGTGGATCGGATCTCTCGTCCTCTCTTTTCGTCTGTTTGGTTACTTACTTTTTCCTCTCTGCAATAGTTATCCGTTCCCACATTCGTCTCTTTTCTTTTTCTCTTCTTTTCTTTTCTTTTCTCTCGTGAAAAGCAAGCAGGTCGGGAGACGAACGAGCAGAGAAGCAGAGAGAGAGGGATCAGAAAAAGGGTACCCCTGAGTCTGCGTGTTTGCCTTCGCCCACCAGGCGCGAGTCCACCCTTTATTCTTTATATAGACACGCACACAGCAAGAGAGAGGTCCAGAGGGAGCAAATAGCTCGTCTAGCAGGGTTTGCGCAGGCGAGGCCGGTGACATGTCACCTTGGGCGAGCGCGTACTCTTCAGATCTGCTTTTAAGGACGGTCAGCAAGCCTGTCTTGTGTGTGTGATGGCTCTCTGCTGTAGTGTAGCTGCTGCTGCTGCTGCTGCTGCTGCTGTAGTACGTAGATGTGTAGACTGTAGCTGTGTAGTAGATGCGTGTTTCAGCCAGAGCCGCCGGGGAGCAGAAGCAAAGAAGCCGTTTGCCTGTCGTCCATCAAAGAAAAAGCCGTCCTCTGTACACCGTAAGCAAGGGAAGAAGAAGAAGAAGAAGAGAAGAGAAGAGAAAAGAGAAGAGAAAAGAGAAGAGAAGAGAGAAGAGAGACGCTGCTGTCCTTCTGCTGCTGCTGTCCTTCTGCTGCTGCTGCTTCTTTAACTAAAAGGCCTGCGGTTCCACCACCGCAACCACCGCCAGAAAAAACAACCTCCTCCTCCTCCGTCTTTTCTTCTTTTCCCCATCTTCGTCCGCCTTTTTCTTCGTCCTCTTTTCCTTGCGTCTCTCTTCTTCGCCTTCATCTTCTCGTCATCGCCGGGTCTCGCTACGGAGTACTTAGTCTCGCACGCTCTCCTTTGACGGCGTCGCTTGCCCCCTGACTTGGTGCCTGTGCCTGGTTCCGCCTCTTCTTTTTTTCTTTTCGACCGCTGCTCGACTGGTGACACTGAACTCGCTGCTCTGCTCGCTTCTCTCGTCCTTCCGGCGTTGCAAACATCCTATTCCAATGCAGAACCCGTCATGTCGCTCAATGGGTTAGATGATCCCTCTATCATCGAGTCTTACCAGAGTGCGCTCGCTGAAGCCGGAGGATGGTGAGTT